CCAAACTGCATGAAGTCTACCATAATACGACCACCAACCTTCAATACGCTGATTTTGCGGTGAAGCAACATAATTGTGAGCATCAATCGTCTGTCTAAAATAAAACTGACTAGAAGCCACTAACCCATTTTCAGTCCCTAAATCACTTATTAGTTTAACTGGACAGCCTTCAAATTCTCTAATCGCTGTGACAAACATGCGTGCAACATTGTCAGGTAAGTTGTTGGAACGGGTGATGTTAAGCCAAAGTATCTTCCTACTGAACCATCAATGGCGTCATGAATTGGAAATCCCCAAGGCTTTAATTTATCATATCCGTCAAGGTGCCATGATTGATTACGTCGAGGATTTTTATATACTCTTCTTTTAAGACGATGTTTCCTTCGAAGCTCTGTTCCTTCTGGATCCATTGTTTTAAGCAAGTTTTGTACAATGGCTCTTGGAACGTTCAGTCCTTCCATTTACAGACAATGCCAAACCGCTTTGTAGCCCATGGAATTCTCTGGACCAATAACTAGCTCTCTTATTCTTGTCAGAACCCTCTGAAATGTATTATCGAAGTTGGGATAATCTTTTACATGCCGACGCTGAAGACCATAATCTTTCAAGCGTCTGAGAAGTCTACTGTAACTCATGTTACAACTGTGGTGCTTCGATAAAAAGCCAAGGATTTCATTGTACTCATACCCACAACTAAAATAGTAATTTATAGTCGCTTTCTCATTGAATTCTTCTCTAAGCTCTTCAGTAAACTACTCACTGTTTTCAGATTGCAAATCTTAAAATATATATGACTGTTCAAGCAATGTTCGAATTTCCTCTCCTGTATAAATGCGGTCCAAAAACATTTTCATTTACTTGAAACTCTTGAGATGTTAACTAACCTTCTTTTTACATTAGGACGAAAAACTTGAGGATAAGGAGTAGCATTGATTTGAGGGCACATTCAAGTGTGCTTTGCATGTTTATGTCAGAATTCTTTTGGTTTTACGCGAATGTTTTACTTTTGACAGAAGTCTTATGATTTTGACTACTATGTTTTGCTTTTGACATAAATATTTTGGTTTTGACACAAATGCTTTGCTTTTCGCGTAAATGCAATTAAAATTTGACTCGAATTATTTGCTGAGGTGAAAATTTCGGGCTACCGTTATGTTACATTTCAATAATCGGAATTGAAAGAATTGCCAGCGAGAAAAATTTTTGAAATTTAATTGTCTGCAGCAAACACGTGGTATACTGTATTGGTGTAAAATCATAAAAATCTCCAAACCTCGCCGATTCTCCGTTCAAACTGTGGTTTGTCCCAATTATAATAATAATAACATTGATAAGCGTATACTGTGCTAAAACAGTACAGCTCCAAGCATTGTCAATAAAACCAGAACAATAAACAATAATGTAAAATATATGCATTTATAAAAATAAAAGAATTTCTTGAGTAATAAATTATTCAAAAACAACACAAGGGACAAAGCTAAGTATAAATAGCCGTTAATGATCAAAATAAATTCAAAACTTTACCTGAATCATTATTACTTTCAACTGTTATTCTGGTTACTGGACGTCGAAGCGGAAGAGGTCGATGGCGCACCTGAAATGTTGAAAACAAACAAAGAAACGCAAATAAACTTTAAATTATATTAAAATATGAAACATCATCAGCAGAAACTCACAGAAACCACACTTCGAACAAATTCCAAGTGCTTGCGACCTCTTGTCCACAGTTTGAGCAAAACTTTCTTACAAAGCAAAGATAAACAACGATCACGGCTACGCGATGGCAATATGGCGATGATTTGGTATTTGATCTTGTACTTCCACCGAGATAGCACTTCCGCCGTGACCCGTGGAATTTTGTTTATTGCCGTGGAGTTTTGTTTATTGCCGTGTAGTTTTGTTTATTGCCGTGAAGTTTTGTTTATTGCCGTGAAGTTTTGTTTATTGTCAAATGGTAAGACGATAACAATTTATGACAATCTACAAAAAGTTATGTACTTCGCTAAGTCCTGCGCATCTAAAATATTTTCAATTTTGAATTTAACATTGAGCAGTTGATCAAAAATGAATTCTGAAGGTGAAATTGAGGAGGAAAACCAAAATGACTTAACGAAGCTTCTCACGGAGGAATCTTACCAACCATCGAAAAAACTTCATGACAAAATGGATAGATTTTTATCTCCACAATCGGATGGCGAGGCACACCACGATGAAGAAATTGAACTTTGGTAAGAACATGCTTATTGTATAATTTATTCAGGATAAACGAAATCGTTAGTTTGATAGCTTAAAAACTTGCTACTTCCAACGGAAGACTTTCGTCATTAGGTATTATTTATATCCATGTTCTATTCGTCCATTCACATTCGCCATCAGTGAAGTAGACTCGAGTTGAACTGTGTCCCACGAAGCGTGCTTTTTATCAACAAAATTTTCACTTTCTCTATTCATCTACACAATTAAAGCGCTTAGAATCCAATAGAAAATAACTTGATGGTTGATTAACAGCTGAGCATGCGCTGAACCTTTCTTATCCCATCAAACCCTTCCATCCACATGTAATAACACAATCGTTTCACCCGTTTCAACAGTGAAATAAGTGACGGAGAAGCGACAACGCAAACTAGGATATCAAGACCAGTCACTGGGATACGGATATTTTAAGCAATCCCTAAGCGTTTCATAATTTTAGTTATGATTGCACTGGCTAATTTCAACATGTATTGCATAAGGATGTGTGTGAACGTGACCATTGTAGCAATGACGCACGGAGAAGATGACCAGCATAACACAACGGAATCTCGTTTATCAAGAGACGAGGTAAGAAAAGAATGCAATGCCGTCTCTTATCCATACGTACATATAGATGAGAAGCTAAAGTTTAGATTTAGACTTCAAATTCGACTTCTTGTTTACTGCTTCAGTTTTTCATCACAGCTTTGGTAATTTTGATTTTCCTTCGCAAATGATACAGTATGTGGCGGCGGTATTGTACGCTGGTAATTGATAAACAGCCAAGTACGTTAGTATGTGGCGGCGGTATTGTACGCTGGTAGTTGATACACAGCCAATTACGTTAGTATGTGGCGGCGGTATTGTACGCTCGTAGTTAACACACAGCCAAGTACGTTAGTATTTGGCAGCATGATTGTACGCTGGTAGTTGATACACAGCCAAGTACGTTAGTATGTGGCGGCGGTATTGTACGCTGGTAGTTGATACACAGCCAAGTACGTTTGTAATTCATCTAATAGTCTGTGAAAGTCAGGAAATTTTACAAAGCATTACGGTAAAAACCACGGACTAATGTCCCATTTATCTCTTTAAGGAGCCAGAATTCCACTGGAGCACACAACTTCAAGGTAAGTCGTCTTCGTTGAATGCACGTGAAAATATATCTGCTGTGGGTAATTGGAGTTTTGTGCACAGATAAATACAATACAGGAGGGGAGGTTGTGTAAAGAAAAGTAGAAGTGCACAAGAATGGAATGATTTGCTTCAGATCTTAACATTGTGTGGTGGCGAACAATCTATTTGACCTCGTGACAATGTCGCGGAATCATTCGTATGTTGTAATAAGAAATTACTTTTGAAGTTTACTAAATTCATCTAATATTGCTTATGGCAGTACTCTAATGCCGCCAGCATGTATTAGCACCATGTAATAAAATGTCATATCAGATGCAATCAACTGGTAACAATGATAGACGTTTGCAGGTACAACTCTGGCGTCCCTTTACTGGAGCTATACTGCTCTTCAAATACCGGCAAGATTGCTTTGCGCAAAGTATGGCAGTTCATTTCTACTTGGTATTGCAATTTTTGGCTCCTCGGTTCTTACGCTTTTCACACCACTGATCGTTAGGGCGAACGTCAGTGCCTTCATAGTACTACGGGTACTGGAAGGTGCATTCTTGGTAAGGTATAACTTTTTAGCTTTATGAAAGCTTATTTGATAGTGTGTAGCAAACTATAGAGATGAGATTTTAGTCGTTGAATGTGCTATATATACCTTTAAATTGCGACGACTTTAGTCAGTTTTATTCCACAAAACAATTCAGCATGCACATGATAAGATAGTTTTATCTTAAGCAAAATTCCATTCAAGTTTTCATAGTCACTCACTAAATGCGTTTTAAACATAGTTAATGCTGGGGCATTTATGTGAAAGTGTGTAGATAGCCACGAGAATATCCGCTAAAATTTTTCGTCAATTGTTTGGCCTAAATGTACGACAATCATTAAGTCCAATCGAAAATTGCTCGATTAACCTGGTTTGTCTAACAATTTGGCTGCCCTCCTTGCTTGGTAAGCCTATGGAAGTAGCAAGAAATTTTTTTGCATGTTTGTTGACGTAGATTGTCCAGGTTAGTTGAGTCTCGAGAAGGAATGTTGATGTTGATGTTGACTGTGACAGCACTTGAAGATGATCACCGCTAAGGTTTTTTGAAACGTCAGTCAACACCACCAAGAACAGTTCTTCCCAGGACTTTACTAACCTGGATGATCTACGTGTACAAACATGTAACGATACTCCCGGGTTCAAACCATTCATTTTATGAAGAAAAATCTCGATATTTACATGAAGTTGTACATGATGTGATTTTTTTTCCACAGGGTTTGGTGGCGAGTTCAAGCATTGATTTAATAAGCAAATGGTCACCTATTTACGAAAGGAGTATTTTCGTCACCTTTTCATATGCAGGTGATTGAATGATCGTAATTTATGAAGTCATTTATGTTGTACATAAATGCTTTCGTAAGATACATATAAAGTATGTGCATCTGATAAATCAATATAATTTTCAATATTATATTAATTTGCAGCGCTAGCTGGTGAAATTGCACGCGCAACGGAGCTTTAGTTACGTACTTTCGAAATTTGTGATTTCGTCAAAAACATTTAAAGCGCTGTTTTATGAGTAGATTTTGATTTCTACATCTTGCATAAACAAACGTCGTCAACAATTTAAAAACTTACCCATGATCCTCTCATGCAGGTCTTCTGTGGGGAACAGTTTTTGCGAACTCAATAAGTGGTCTTCTGGCCGGTAGTTCATACGGATGGCCGTCCGTTTTTTACTTCTTTGGTAAGTTTTCGTTCATCGCTTCTTCAAGGATCTAATGAAAATAAATCATTACGTCATAAATTTATAAAACAATTATCAGAGAATACTAGCATACAGAAGATAATCTTTTATTGCTTTCGTTCAAGTGCCTTAAAACGCCAGTCATACAGTGCAGAAAACAGGGAAAATCCCCTTGCGTGGCAGATATTTCATTAGAATATTTTTTCAGCCATTTCGATGGAAGGGGGAATTGCCTGTGTTTTCAACACTGCCTGTTGAATCATGACGTATTTCGCAAAAACAAAAACAACTGAAGATAACAAAAGTGATGATTACTTAGCAAACCAAGTTAAAAAGTTGCTCTAGCTGTTGCACCTAAACGAGAAAATATTTTTTCATTTTTTCATTTGTTGAAGGAGCTCAAGGAGTCCTCTGGTATTTATGTTGGCTGTATCTGGGGGTGGAACAACCAGCCGATCATCCTACTATATCTCGTTCTGAGATACAAAAGATTGGAAAACACTGGACAACTAAAGTAAATATCTTAAAATGACTGAACAATATTATTTAAATTTAAATATTTATTTTATTTTCTTTATTTATTTATCATATTCTGTTTCTTCATTCACTAGACAACATAAATTGACGTGACACAATACAATACATGTTGTGGAACTAATTGGTTCCAAAGTATGACAGATCAAAAAAGTACTACTTATCTGCAACACAACATATTTATTTTATTTTCTTTATTTATCATATTCTATTTGTTTATTCACTTGACAACATAAAACAGTGTAAGTAGTGAAACTAATTGGTTCCAAAGTATGACAGATCGAAAAGAACTATTTATCTGTAACATAACAGTTCATATGTGTGTATTTACAGTTGAAATTTCGTGAAATTCCATGGAGACATATGCTCACATCGATAAGAGTTTGGGCGATCATACTTCCCGTCTTCATGGATTGTTGGTGTTTCTACACATTTATGTTTTCACTTCCAAGCTATCTCAGCGATGTTCATAAACTAGATATAACAACGGTTCGTGGATTTTTTATGAAAATTGAATTCATTGAAAGCATGATGTTAATGCAAAAATCATGATCATGTAGATGTTACGGTAGTTTATACATAGCGCCCCTTTCAAAGGAACAAAAATGTTTATTGAATTGGTACTAATGTGAGTAATGTGTAGTTTTTAAGCTATACATTACATAACCTATACATTATACAAGTTTTTAATTATATAAAAAGGAGAAAACAGCTAATCCACCAATCAGCTTCCATCTGTATTATTGATCTCTATGTTCAGGCTGAATGTATAAATAAACAAAGAACTGAACAAATGTACTTTAAACCACTTTTAACAAAGATGTATTAATGGAAATTTAAACCTAGCAACGCTATTTGTAATGCTATGACTTAAAGGAATGCAACAATCCACATCTGTTTCACAACCCACAGTTGTCTAAACCAATAACAAAGGATTTCATATAAATGCTAGCTTTGCAAAAATCAGTTACATCTCCAAGCAAATTTAGGCTACCCACATGTATGCTCTGTGTACCTATTTTTTAAATTTCCTTTTTTCAAGAAAATAACCTTCTATTATAACCTCAATTAAATTGTTTTGTCATAAGCTCAAATGGTTGGAAATAAGACCTACGCATGCAATAAATTGAACAAAAACAAGTTGTAAGATAAGATTAATGAGAAGAGTAAATGAAAATGATTTGAAAAACATCATGAACTTATATCATTGTTTTTTTTTTCTTATACAGATTGGTTTCACTAGTTCCATTCCTTATGTAGTAGCAGGACTTCTCACACCTGCATGGGGATTTTTCATAGATATGTTGAGAAAACGAAAATATTTAAGCACAACAAATGCCAGAAAACTCTCTTATTTGTTTGGTAAGATTTATTTTACCACATGCTTTGTTATAAGTTTGCAATCATAATAATTAATATGACTCTCTTAAAAAGTGTTGACTCTTGCGAGAAGTGGTTGAGGGAACGAGAATAAAATGTTGCATAAACCATCATTATGAGAAGTAACTTTATTGCTTAATATTATACCAACATCATTTCTAAGCTTTATTTAAAATAAATTTTACTCACCCCCTTAGCAGTTGTACTAAAATGGACATGAAACTTCATGGTAACATAATGTTGATTTTAACTTTCTTCTGAAAGAAGTTTGGAACATTCATTTGAACATTAGAATATTCCTACAAACTTTCAAGTGTTTTCTTTTTAGTTGCATGTTCAAAACTTACGGAAGATAATCTGATTAGTCAATATCTATATATGTTAGCCAATCAGATCATTTTCTGTAAGTTTGAAGATGCAAACTAACAAATAAACATTTGAATGTTCAAATGAATACTCAAAACTATTTTAGAGATACACAAGGTGAAATTGACAGTATCTATTCTCCAATATTGAATTTTCGTGGTTCTCTTCATACTTTAGGTGCTGGAATAGGCGGAGTCTTTATCTTTGCCATGGTTTATGCATCTAATGCCTCAACTGCTATTGTCATAGCAACCATAGCAATTACAGTATCAAACTTTAGCGCAAGTGGTCCAGGAGCAAACTTGGTTGAGCTTGCACCAAAGTATTCAAGTGTATTAATGGGTATTTCTAACTTTGCTTGTAATATCACTGGTTTCATTTCACCAGAAGTGGTTGGAAGTCTTACAGAGCACGGGGTAAGAATAAATGAGCTTTTATAACATTTCAATTAAATCCAATAGCATATTAAACATGCAATTAGCCATTAGTAAAAGTATAAAAATAACTTACAATTTCTTGTAGAATATTCATCATCAATGGGCAATTGTATTCTATATCACGGCTGCCATCGAGGTTTTTGGAATGCTCTTGTATCTTGTATTTGGTTCGTCAGAAAAACAACCATGGGCTAATAATTGAGTCGTTCACTCACTTTCTAAAGTCTCTGTGGCCTCCCAGAGCATTTTTATGTTTTATAATTCATCGTTCTTTTATTTTTAATCACTATAACATTCAATATTTAGAAAATAGTTATTAAATTTTTGTTGCAGTACAGTTGTTTTTCTTTGCACGCACAGTCGCACACCACGTGCACCGCAGTGCAGCAGCAGTCCAGTATCCACTGACTTGGATATGATGTTTTAGTCACGTGATCGGTAATTTTGGGACATTCATTCATACTGACCATACACTTCTTGTACTCATTTCACCCATTTGCAATCTTCAAAACAGAGACTTAAAAATTTGTAAACAGAGACAGTAATAAAATCAATGAATGACTTAAGTCATTCGACTTAATTTGTCAAAAAAAACAGGTGTATGTCTTGTCAGCAACACTAGGTACATGTCATTGATATCAATGATTAATCCAGGTGCCTTGATCAAATTTACTAAATCATAAAAGCCATTCACTCATGCTATTCAAGTCAGTTAAAATGACTGCAAATGTTGGTCAGTAAAGATCTTACAAGCTAAGCCCAAGCATGGCACACATGCAAAATGACGGATATAATGTCAATGACAACCATAAAGGTAAAGAATTGTCAACTTTTATTTTACTATGGAATATTTGCTATAAATGTTGATATTTTTTAAGTATTTTATACAACACAAACAAGCCACTATGTCTGTCTTAAGAGGTCAGGCATAAATCTGTTCCACAACAACTTATGCTATGTTGCCTAAACTTACCTCTGTATCAAATGATGTATTATTTTATGTTAAGTTCTGATGTCCACCAAGCAATTCAGGAGGAAAAGATCAAGAAAAGTCATACCAACTGTACCTGAAAAATGGAAGGAAGAATTTGACAAATTAGCACTGGTGAACTATAACCATTTATTTAAAAACGGAGGATTTCACGAAACTACAAGTTGTCTTTGTGTTGTGTTTAGAAACCAAGGTCAATCCAAATCAAATTGCTAAATCCACACATCACGTGTCCAGTTTGCCAAGGATATTTAGTTGATGCTACAACAATAACTGAATGTCTACATTCAAGTTAGTATTTTGTCACATATTTCACAAACTGCTAGTCCAACACTTATGTTGCCATCATTGGTTAGAGGGTGATTATGGCACAATTTTCACACTTGGCTATGTTTTAAGTTTGTAGAAGTTGTATTGTGAAGCATTTTGAGAGAGTTCGTTGCAACTACAAATGTCCACTATGCCACGAGCTTGTGCATAAAACAAATCCTTGGTATAATCTTAAGTAAGGAGAACCATTTAATTTTCATTTAAGTACCAGAGGTGGGCAAAATTTGATCCTATGCTTTTCAACTTCCAGAACCGATTGTGTTCTTCAGGACATAGTTAATAAACTGGTACCTGATTTTGCAGAAGGTTAATGTTTTTTCCTCAATTTGTTGACATTGATTTTCAATTTACATGCATACCACTTAAAAAGATCAATATATTATTTTATTCCTCTCAGCTGAAGAAAGACGGCGAATAGTTTTCTACAAAAGCAGGGGACTCGCCATCCCAGACAAAGGTTCAACAGTGTATTCTCATTCGTTTGTGTTGTTATATGTCTGATAATTCTAATGATCATAATCCTGATTACTATAGTGATAAAACCAGACATACAGAGACCTCAAATTAATCATACTACAGTTACAAAAGCAGAAAGTACCTACTCTCAATCACACTCACAACAAGTACAAGAAGCACAGAACCTATTGAAAATATACTAGAATACTACATTGAAGATGAGAATGATGATATTACCATGCAACTTGAAATGAAAAGGTTGGTGATCAATACCGAATTTCCTGCAGTTGAAAAATTTATTCATTGACACTTGATCATGATATATTGAAATCGATCATTATGTATATTTTTAGTGTTGATGAATTCACACTTGAAGATATAGAGGTAGAAGAGATTCAATATACAACAGTCCAATAAGACAGTTTAAGGCAAACTTCACTTTTGCACTTAAGTCATTCAAGGAAACATAAGCATCACATTTTTCACTTCATGTTGACAATAGAAAAAACTTGAATACAAATGGTTGCTTAATTTCACTCAAGTAGTTTAGGCAAAGAGCTTGTTTTGATATTATGCTGCCAATTCTAACATGCTATATGCATTGGTTTTATCGCAGCCATTGAAAAGAAAATTTGTCCGTTGCTCGAATCAGGTGACAATTGGATTACTTCAAGCATTCTTAGCAAAGAAATTGAATCTTGAAGCTGCAAATCAGGTACCAGTATACAACTGATTATGTTGATGTGAGTCAATCAAATATAGAGCTTTTACTTGTACTTTATTTTTAAGATTGGAATAATTTGTAATGATATGGAACTGGGATCAGATTTAACTTGGCAGTTTATAAAAGAAACAATTGCCGAGGAAGAGGTGAGTTTCCACCTTAAGAATTATCAATCTAATTATTCTGAGAAATCTTCAAAGTTTACTCTGCTTTTCACATGTATTTCGTTTTCAGGACAGCAGTAAACCATTGCTTTTGTATTATGGTCTCAGTGATATATACTGAGCATAAACTAGAGAGGAACAAGGAAAGTGTTAAGAAAAGTGATGTTCAGGCTGACTCTTATCATTTCCAAACTCAAGTAATGTTAACTAGATAAAAGAACAAGAACACTTTACTTAACATTGACCTGTAGGAAAACAGATGAATTAAATCTAAATCAGCATGATAGTATCTGTTGCTCTCGCGACTAAAGTAATTTATTCCTAGTCATTTTCCACTTATATAAACCAAAGAAAAGAACAAAGGAAAGTTAATTTTACATAACTCAAAGGTCTTACGTTCCTTCCACGTTGATTACCACAAGCGAAAGAACTTAAGTGTGCGCTTGAAAAGTTTTCATGCAAAGCTTCAACTTGGAACATCAACTCATTTAAACTCTTCGTTTCGCTGGTTTCATAACACATCCTTCGTTTATTGAGTGTATGTTATTAATGTTATGGAGGCTGTTTTAGTTTTCGCCTTGTTTTTTTTTCATGTTCAGGCTGTTCACTTGTTTGCGTGCTATCTTCTTTATGCGAGCCATCTTCTTTCTCCGAAGCCATCTTGGAAAACGATAGAAAGTTAAATGGAACAAGTGAAATACTTTAAATAAAGCACCGCACTAACTCGACTTTAAGAAAATACGTACCTTTTTATAAGCCATCTCAAATAATTTAAGTGACTTCTGTTGTAATTCGTTACATCGCTCTTTAATTTCTTCCGCAGTAGAATTTTCAGTGTTTGCCAACACCTCGCGTACTTTGGTAATTTCCTCCTCCACAGTGGCAACCTAAGCAATACCATATAAGGTATTAAGCAATGCCATATAAGGTATTAAGCAATACCACATAAGGTATTGTAATAGATTCGGAGATTAGTTAAAGTATTTGAACTGTGTCTCATATTGTTATTGTATTAATCGATGGTCTTTTGCAAAAAATACGTCAAAAACTAGCAGCTCGTAAATGAATTGTTTTGATTTAGATCACACCAAAGGTTCACGTTGAAGTGACACTAACCTCGTCTTGTGGCAACTGATCTTTGAACTCTTCAATTTTGGATTCTGTGTCATGTAAAATGCTTTCAGCATGGTTGACTGCTTCAGTTTTTTCCTAGTGAACGTGTAAAATACATTTTACAAAGGCTGAAGAGAAAACTCTATACAGAGACATTTAACATATGGTTAACGAGTAAACTGTGGCTATCCTTCAGTTCAACTACAACGTCAGTTCCTTTCGTTCTTACCTTTCTTTCTCTGTCACTTTCTGCATACATTTCATCTTGTTTAATCATATTTTCAATCTCATCTTTGTTCAAACCACCAGAAGATTGGATGACAACTGTACAAATAATCAAATAATGCAACAGTGACTCTCCAAACCGCTATAGCTGTTTAATAACTGATCACAAAACCAAAGAACATGCACAACAACTGGGGATGAGTGTACCATAGAAAATAAATTTAAACTAAGGAATGCTGTCAAACATATCAATTATATGCCTTTAACCCCTTGTTGTCCCTTTAGCAGATCTGCAACAATCACTAAACCAATTTAACTGTGATTTAAAAAAGATGTGGTCCATATTAATGTAGAAATTATAAGTATTTGTATAATAACAAAAAAATGAAGAGTGCAAAAATCAGTTAAACTATTAGTTTTCTTAAAGCCTGACTTTTTCGAAAAAGTAATTCAGTAGTAAACTCTGCTACGCTGACAAGATTTTCTTTGTCATTCAAACCGTTACCCATGACGTACTTACTCTGTTGTTCTTTTCCAGTTCCCTTATCACGAGCGGACACGTTGACAATGCCATTAGCATCAATGTCGAACGTGACGTCAATTTGTGGTATACCACGTGGTGCAGGTGGGATGCCAACCTAACGCAAACGATAAAGATTAGAAATATCAAATACATTGACGCTGTTCGACGAAAATAAGTAAGCATTCGTAATACTAACCAAAGAAAACTGTCCCAAAGTTTTATTATCTGAAGCCATTTCACGTTCACCTTGACAAACCTTAATTTCCACTTGCGTCTGACCATCAGTTGCGGTGGAGAACACCTGCAAAGGTATAAAAAGTACAATGCTTAAACTGGATCAAGTCAATGGCAATTGAGCTTCATAGATACAATGTGATGATTTCAATCACATCATACATATGCAGTGTGCAAGTGAAATTTGCTATGTTTGTTACAGTGGAGTAAATTACAAAGGAATCTTGCTGAATTTAATGGTAAAATACTGAACCTCACTCTTTTTCGTAGGAATAGTCGTGTTTCTCTCTATGAGCTTAGTAAAGACACCACCAAGCGTCTCAATGCCAAGGGATAAAGGTGTAACATCCAACAGAAGAACATCTTTCACATCATCAGCAAGAGCTCCACCTTGAATGGCCGCTCCTATAGCAACAGCTTCGTCCGGATTCACAGCCTTACTTGGCGAACGACCAAATATCTCCTTCACAAGTTCTTGCACCTAATTGATTCATCAACATTCCTTAGTTCTGCTATGGGATCCATTGAAATAAACCAGAGATACAAGGATTATAAAAGTTTCAAACAAAACACTGCTGTTTTGACAATAATAATTTAGATGAAGCTCAAACATCTATCAACCAAAATACCGGAATATAGCTGTGAGGTTAACCAAAAACATTGGTTCTTTTTTATGCATCAAAAACTTTCTACGCCAAAGAACCGATATTTTTGGTTATATTTTTCCCCTTAGACGTCCTCCAAACGTCCACTTTCCTTTAAGGTTTCAAAATATTTCAGTTCCTTCGTTCCATTCAAAACCACAAGAAAAGGGTCCAATTTGGGAATATTTCAAGAAAGAAAACAAGAAGCAGGTTTGCAGTGTGAGTTCTGTGACAGAATGAAATCAGCACAGTACATAGCAAAACCACAGATCGGTGAAAACACATAGAAAACAAGCACACGTTGACTTATGCTGAACTGGACAACTTTCTGGCGTCTACTCGTCTAATTCATAATTCAGTCAATGCAGCACTACACATGTATTGTTTTTTCTTTTTTTGAAAAAAAAGGAACGAAATTCAATAAACTGAAAACCAGATAAAATGCTGGAGCCACACAGCTCAACACCTGACCAAGTCAAAACAAAATATACAGATTAGGTCAAACTGATACCTTAGGCATCCTTGTCATACCACCAACCAACAACACTTCTCCAATATCTGACATTGTACACTCAGCGTCCTTCATACATTTTTTACAAGGTTCAACAGTTCTTTGAATCAAATCAGCTACAAGTGACTCGAATTTTGCTCTTGTTAATTTCATGTTCATGTGCTGGGGTCCTGACGCTCCAATAGTAATATAAGGTAGATTGATATCCGTCTATAAAGTATGAGAGAAGTGAAGTTACTTTTGCAATGTCTTTAAAATAAACTGTTAATGGATAAATTAATGACTAAACATGCAATCAATTGTTTTCTTGCAAGCAATAAAATCAATTATTGTGTAAACAAACTTGTATGGACGACGATAACTCAATCTTTGCTTTTTCAGCAGCTTCTCTTAATCTTTGAATTGCCATGTTGTCCTTCGTAAGATCAATTCCCGACTAAAAATGAGAGCATAATTTATTCGATTAGTTAACTTAAGTTATAAAAATCAAGGTTCCTTAAAATAATTGTACCATTTCATATTTCAATGTTAATATTGGGCAGATGAAATATTTCATACCTCTCTTTTGAATTCCTTTACAAGATACTGAAGAAGAGCATTATCAAAATCCTCACCACACAAGTAAGTATCACCATTTGTTGCTTTCACTTCAAATACACCCTTTTGGATTTCCAAGATGGACACATCAAATGTACCATTACTAAGATCATAAACAGCAAAGCTAAATAATAAAAGCACATGTCATTGATACATAATTTTAGAAACCAAAAAAGCAACACAATTAGCAATTTTAGTCATATATCATTTCATTCAACATACATTTTATCTTCTGCTCTATCCATTCCATAAGCAAGCGCTGCAGCTGTAGGCTCATTGATGACACGAAGGACATTCAAACCTGCAATCTGGCCTGCATCTTTTGTTGCCTTAAATAAATAATCCATGGTTATCATAGAAACAGCCATTAAGCCAGAAGACTTGAACTTTGACATGACTGAAACATGACGATTTCTTTGCTTTGAAAAATTTTATGTTACCTGTCTTTGAGAATCGTTAAAATAAGCAGGTACAGTGACAACTGCATTTTGTACACTTGTGTTCAAATAACTTTCAGCAGTTTCTTTCATTTTCATCAAAACAAATGCACCAATTTGACTTGGTGAGTACATTTTCCCTTGAACATCAAACCAAGCATCGTCATTTGGTGCCTTTACAATTTTAAACGGAAGGTTTTCCCTGCAAGAAATATATAAAAAGAAATTCAGTAACAACAAAAAATATCATTTTTCATGAAGTGTTTAACAACAAGCATATACATACAGATCTTTTTGAACTTGAGAATCATCAAACCGTCTTCCTATGTATCTTTTTGTTGCATAAAGGGTATTTCGAGAATTGGTCACTGCCTAAAAGTTTACAAATAAATCCATTACTTCGGCACTTTTCTTTGCAATAATTCTGCTGGCTTTATATCAACAAAGACAATCAATTAAATCAGGCATAAGTCATATAGATTAGGCTAATAAATGTTGCCTATATAAAGACAGCATCAGTTACAAATCAGAGTCTGTATAAGAACCAATATTGGCTTTTTTATACCTGTCGTTTTGCAGATTCCCCAACAAGCACCTCTTCATCTGATGAAAATGCTACCAATGATGGAGTCGTCCTTGCTCCCTCAGCATTTTCAATCACCTTAGGTGTTTTGCCTTCCATAACAGCAACACATGACTTTTTTGTCCCGAGATCAATGCCACAAACTGCTCCACGTACATCAGAACTTAAAGTAGAAGAAATTTTGAACCAATGAAAAACTAGTTGGACTTTTTACAGAGTGGAAAAAATTAATTGCTCATTGTACTTTTAACAGCCTCGTTAGCACATTTATAAAGTAATTTAAACATCAAAATTAATGAATTGTATTGATAAAGAGGAAATACAATGGTAAGCTAGTTGTTTTGGTGTTCAACCTTTCAATTTAATATAATTAGTTGCTATGTTAGCTCATTCAGTTTAATTTTCTCCAAAACAACTAACTG